GGACTGGGGTTGGGGCACAGAGGCTTCCCCCGCGCACTTGGCAGTCCTGCCATGGAGGGTTGGTGTGCAGGAGCACCAGGTGGGAGGAGTGGGTCGGGGAACAGGGGTGCCCACTTTTCCGAGGCCCCCCCAATTGGCCAGGGCCTATGAGCATGGGCCCCGTTGGCCCAGTGGCTTATCCACCATGGGACCCCAGGCCTTTTTCAATCTAATCCTGAAAGATGTCCTGACCAGAGAGAGGCACCTAGATGACATTGCCACCTGGGATGAAACAGAATCAGATGAATAACAGCGGCAACAACAACCGATCCAGCCACCTCAACTACCTTCTTCTCTTCTCCCCAAAAGGCCAGTTTTGTTACCATCTTTGGTACCATCACAAACAAGGGGCTTTTTCTTCTAAAACTCTCTCCAGCTAAAGGGAAAGGAAACAAGGGACGTTACACTTTACATTTCAAACCCTTGACCGTTTTTCCTTCTAATAAAAGGCTAAAAGGATTTTTAATGGTGTGTTTGCCCTGGTGCTAAGCAGGCTGACCACTGGTGGATAATGGTGGGTTATAACACCTTTGTCCCATACATTCCATCTAAATAAAGAAAACAGTTTCCAAGGAAAACGAAGGAGTCGCCGGGAAGTGGCTTTGGTGATTCATTAGGTGGTGTGCTTCCCTCTGAGTGAGGGCAGAACTGGGACCACCAGAAGGGGGGGGGCCGTGCTGTGCTGCTGGACGACAAGAGGTCCTGACCAATTGTGGTCATTAAGGAGCCCATGGTATTTTTCACAACTGTTGGGACACTAGCCATGGTGTCCTGGCCAAATTCTAACTGGGCAATTGCATTGTCTCTCTGAAATCCCCCTGATAGTTTTAACTCAATTCAGTATTCCTCGTTTCCTGGCCTAAATGTCTGCGCTCTACTCCAGAGGTGGCTGCATTTCAGGGGCTTGGTGGAGTGATTCTGACCTCCCCAGCTTGTAAAGCCATATGGGCAGAAAGGCACTGTAGAAATGTCAGCTTATCTTCCATTACAATGACTAATATAAGAGCCAATTTACCCTCTGCCGCTGGTATCCTAAGATATCAGCATCACAGATGACACCACGTTCTAGCCAGATGAGCATCTCCAGCTGCAGGCTCAGACACAGCAAGGGAAATGTCTATCTATGGATCTGTCCTCATTTTACCATGTATTCCTGCTGAGGGAGGCCTTGTTCTCTTTTCAAAAGACTGTAATAATCACCCGCAAGGGTCCACAGCTGTCAACGTGCTGCACACCACAGCTACTTGGAACTTCACAATGGCAGCATGGCTAGAACTGGAGCTAACAGAGATTCTCCACAAGCTACCAGCAGTATAGGGTCTATAGCACACCACTGAGCTGTTCAGATTCCATCCAGCAGAACTCAGAGGATACACAGACAGAATAGCCAGCATTGTACAGCCTTGCTTACCATAGCATCATTACAGGTGCCTTGTTTGAGACCTGGGTATATTTCCCTATATTCCAAGGGGCAGGAGTGTTGCTAGTTAGTACTTCGGGCATGCAAAGCTCTATGTATGTGATACGTAGCATTCGTTATTATTATTAAAGCGTTAGGAGCCAGTGGAGTCCAGTTATCTATCTCCCTCCTGTATGGGGTATGCAAACACTCAGCCCCACCTTTGGCCAGGCTGACAGAGCCGAGGGCAGCTTGCCTTGAGGGGCAGCTGCAGGAGCCTTTACTAATGTTTGCACAGCTCCATCCCCCAGGGGCCCCGGTGGAGGAAAAAGGAAAGAGCCCAGAGCCTGTTTTCAGCTCCACTGAGCTGCGGGCTGCAACTGACAGTGACACCGTCCCAGCGGACAGGTGTGGCAGGCTGATAAGGGGCCTGCTCTGCAGGGTGAAGAGCACAGTGGAGAATGCCTAGCCACTCCATCAGCTCTCTTATCCCCAGCCAAGCCAGTCAGAGCCCTGGCGACACACCCAGAATATCACCCCACACACGCAGTAAGGAGGTGGTTTGGGCTAAAGTGATAAAGTCACCGAGGTAAGTGAGGGCGGGAGCCCTCAGTTCACAGCTGCCCCAAGGACACGTCCCATGTGCATGTTCCACTCCAGTCCAAGCCAGGGAGCTGAGCACCTCAGTACCCCTGGTAAAACCTGCGGGGGGAAGCTGGGGGCTTTTCAACATAGGGATATTGACCAGAATAGTCCTCCGGCGTGGACACTCATACGGAATAGCTCCAGCACTTTAGGTTCACACCCTACCTTGTTCCAGAATAACTCCCCTGTGTAGACAAGCCCAGGCGTGGGGCTGCCCTGTGAGCGTGCACTCATATACCACTCCCACTTTGCTCCGGAGTGAAGGCATCTCCATTACTGGGGCTGTACCTGTCGCTAAAGAAGCTGACACCGAAGCTACAGCGGACTATTTAACCCCTCACCAGCCCTCCAGAACCGCCCTGGGGTTCAGGCCGCAGCGCATTCAAAGGGGGCATCTCATCTGAAATCTGACTTCAGAATCGGGAAGGCTCGCTAGGTGGCAGCCACACAAAGGAGCCGTGTCCCCCATCTCAGCCCCCCACGCGCCAGGAGAACCCGAGTCCGGGCTAGTGAGGTGCCTGCTGCCACCTAGTGGCCACTGACTGTACACAACAGAGAGCGAGAACTCATGGACATTATGAGGAGTTTCAGAGTGGGAGCCGTGTTAGTCTGTATCAGCAAAAAAAAACGAGGAGGACTTGTGGCACCTTAGGGAATAACAAATGTATTTGGGTATAAGCCCACGAAAGCTTATGCCTAAATAAATTTGTTAGTCTCTAAGGGTTTTTTTTTATTATGAGGAGTGACTCCAGACTCGGGTTCTTAGAGGCCCTATACTCAAAGCGGGTCACTCATCCCTTTCCCAGTGAGCTGGCCCCCTCTCCGTTCCTCTGTCTTCCTCCTCCATCCTCCTCACCTGTCTTCCCCTTGCTGGGGTGAGGGGCTTGTTTCCAGGAGCCCCTAATCACAAGAAGCAGACATGCCAATTTCTGTCACGTCATGTATTGGTGCCCCCCGGCGGTCTCTGCGTGTGGTGCCCCACGCCCACTGAGAACAGAGACAAGCTCCTCACCTGCCCCCATGTCGCCGGCAGCCAGGAGCCACCAGCGTATTGCTCCTTGACTCTAGCTCAGGGATGACACAGGCTGCAACTACTCGTGGTCATCAAAGATCTGTGGGCACGTCCAACAAGAGTAACGGCGTTAGCCCAGCGCCCTGGCCAGATTTCAGCATGGATGATCTGATCTGCTTCCCTCTATGCCCCCCGCGCTCCCGCACCTCTCCTTCCTGCCCTGCACTAGTGTGCAAGCTGCTCTGCATGACTGAACATCTGCTACGGTCCACTCTCGAAGGGGCGGCATGCCAGGGTGGGTGAAGAAATTCCTGCTTCCAACGTGCTTTGGGAACCACTATAAGAAAATGCCAGATTATTGTTTGACTTCTCTGGTACTTAGGGGTGGGGAGCGGGGGAATGGGTGGGATTGTGCCAGAAGCAGTGGCTCCTGATCTCCCCTCCCAACTTTTCTCCCTCTCTCCGACGCCGCCGCCCTAGGAGCAGACAGCTTGGCGATGGGATGGAGGTAGCAGTGCAGTGTGGGATTGTGAGGCTGGCATGAGACAGTTGCAGAGGCACAGAGAGGAAAGGGTACGCAGACAGGGTCTGGTGGGACATGGATTGGGAAGGGGTCCCCCTCCCCACACTCAGCAATGAGTGATTCACAGGGTCAGCCGCCTGGGCCAGATCCAGCTCTAAACATCCCTGAACTCTGGGAGTGTCTGGAGTCGGTGTGCCTCACCTTGACAGAGAACGTTACAATTCTGCTGTCCCTTAGGCTGGCGTGATGAGGAGCGGCCTCCTGGGAATCGATGGAAGTGGATGGTGTAAAACCAGCCAGAGTGAGAAGGAAATCGGGCCTGGTTATACACAGTAAATCAGGGAGATGGGGGATTTGTCCCTGCTGCCAGCTTACTTGTCCTGTCTCCAAAGGGGCCGTAGCTGCAGAGCCTTCCCCCAAAAGAGATGGGGGAGAGCAAAGCTTATAGGACAGAAAAGGACCTTTCCTCTGTCCCAGCCAGCATCATGCAAGGTTCACCCACGTGACCTCTGGTAAATGGTTCCTGTAAGTATTAAAAGAGAGTGGAGGTGCAGGGGAGAACCGCCTTTGGATAATACGATGAGATAGTGACTACCATTCGCAAGCTGCTAAGCCCCCATAAAACTCCCCCTCTTCACCTTGACTTCTGGCCACATCTGCTCCCAGGTTCATTTTCATCCCAGCATTAAACACCGCAGGAAGCATGTCTGGCAAATAGCTGCCTCCGAGTGCACCGCAGGGCTGGCACCAACTGAATCTTGTCTCACACACACTTGCATGATAGGATGCTAGCATAGCACGAGCATCACCCTGGCCTTGGGGGCTGGGGGCACAGGCCGGCACCTCTCTGCTCATGCACTGCACTATCCACATCAGCGGGGATCATGTCAGGCCTTGTCCTTGTCGAGGCAGGACCAGAGGCTCAGCGAGATGAAGTGATTTGCCCAAAGTCACATACCCCAGTGAGTTGCAGAGCTGGGACCAAAATCGTGTCTCCTGACCCCCAGATCCAGGGGCTGGTTCACTCAGCCAGGCAGCCTGGGTCTCCCTGCCTCTTATTTAGAGTCAGTGAGATATTGGATGGACGTGACTTACTGGCAGCATTCCTTGGGGCGGGGGGGGGGGGGATTAATCTGTTTAGAGGACTCCAGCACAGACCAATGGCAAAGATCCTGGGGCTCTGAGGACTCCAACACAGACCAATGGCAGAGATCCTTGGGTTTGAAAATGGCCAGTGATTGGTCATCCAGCTGAGACTTGCCCCTGTTTAGAAGGGAGCTCCTCTCAACTCCCTGCTTTGACACATCCCCTACTATGCTGCCAGTGGCCCTCCGGGGACCATTCATCCACAGAGGAGTTCAGGTGGGTGGGTTATATACAAAATAAAGAGACATTTATTGTTATCAGGTAAAGTGCAACCATCATTTAGTTTTACACTCTGAAGCCAAGCAGCCAAGAGGAAGAACAGCCACCAACCCAGAAGAACTGCACGAAAGAGGTGGGGGCTGGGGAGTTTACAGTATGGCTGTTTGACAGATAGCAACACCGTAACGGTACAAAGACCACTTACAGTTTGAATCCCAACACAAACAACAGGAGGCCAAAGCTCCAGGAGCAGCTGTGATGGGAGCGATGCTGCTGCAGCTGTTCAGGGATGGGGAAAAAGGGGCGATGCTTTATGCCATGGGCATTTCAGTGGCCAAGTCAGAGATGATGCTTTGAAGCCTATAAGCGAAGGGCGGCATTAACTAACTGTCTGGAATGTTATTTGAAAGGAAGCTCTGCTCTGAAATACCGCTATGGATGGCAGCATAGGCACAGTCCCAGCCTCTGCAGTTGGCTGGACCTCAGTTCTGCAGCAAGGCCCCTTGATTCTGCATCATTCTGGTAGAAATTCTGTCCCAGCTTCAGATGAATTAAAGAATGGAGACAAAGGGCACTTAGAAATGGTGGGATCAGCCCATTAGCTGGATGTTTCTGCTAAAATGAGCAGGCATTAAATAGTAATGTTGATATTTGGACCATTATTAGTCTTCAGAGTTAACATCCCACTGAGGCAAATGGTTCACACCTCTCAAAGCTATTGCTTCAGGCTGGTTGCACACTGTGGTAGTTACCCCTGCACTGGTTATACTTGGGCTACAATTGTAAGATTTTTGTTTGCAATTGTGAGGACTAGCAAAAATTTTCTCTACTGGAAGCTGAGATTATGAAGCATAGTTCTGTGGCAAGAGATGAATCCCATGACTGACACACAGGGCCCCAGTCAGAGCTTCTCTTGTTGTTGTCTCAATAACTCCAGGTCAAATCTGCTCAGTTTAGTTAAAGATTGTTTTTTTTTCCTTCCAGCACCTCAAACTCTCCCTGGGATCTGACCTGAGCTGGGTTCTTCCTGTTCACACACCACCAGGAATAAAGACTCTACAACTGAAACTTAGTGACAGCCCACCACAGCCCCATCGTCTACGGAGATGCCTCATACTGGGTTTGGATTTTCCAAAGAAAGTCACACAGCAACGTTAGGTCTCTTGCAATGGAACTGGCTGGCCAACTCATTGTTTCCCTTGTAACTCTCTCTCTCTCCTGTTCTCAGTAGATCCCAGGGCACATGCAGGGTCATCTGGCTTTTGAAAAATGGCTAATGTCAGAGACATGCAGTGGATGCACAGGGCTCTCGAGCTGCTGACTGCTCTGGGACATAGGGTATCAAACAGGGGCACTGAGCAGGGAAAGAGAATTTGTCAAACAGCACCAAGACATGGCAGGTGTCAATAAGTCAAGAGTAACTGACAACCACAGCACTAACCCATCACTGGGCCAGGACTACTTTCATTTACAGGGATGCATTGCAGAAAGATAGATGCCTATGCACCAGGGCCCTAGTGTGTTGTTTAATGGGAAACAGGCCTAGCACACTGATGCACATTCAGACTTCTTGGACCTCTCCTTTGCCTGCTGCCCTGGGTTTGCTGCCAGGTACCGGCACAGCAGGGGCTTTAAGGAATTGCTCACCCACTGCACTTTCAGCTAGAAATGGGCCTGGACCACAAGGCTTAGATCCCGATCCAAACTGCCTCAAAGTCTGGGGAATTTGGATCCGGATTTCAGTCCAGGCCCATCTCTGTTTCCAGGGTCGCCTCGTTCTGCCTCAGCATCCTCAAAAGGAACCAGCTCTGCAGGGACTTGAGAGCACTCAACGCATTGGCCTGACCAGGGAGAGGAGGGGCTACTGCCTCTGTATCTTGACATGGTCACCAGTCATCCTTCTGCGGTAGGTAGCCAGGAAGATATCGTTGTCCCTGGGGCAGTCATGGTGGCAGGAGCACGTCTTGATGAACATTATCTTACGCTGGAAGAAGTCCCCCTCCGGGCACCTGAACTGCACCTCTGCAGTGGTGGTGGTGTGGGGTGTGCAGCAGCGGCCGTCTGTGCAGCTACCGCAGAACTTGGGCCAGTAAGAGTGGGCGCTGGTGCAGCCCGAGAACTCAAAGCGGATTCCCCGGCGGGACTTTGGGGTCCGCACGCACTTCTTTCCTTTCTGGGGAGAGAGCAGCAGGAAGGAAAAGGTTAACACAGCAGGACGGGATCGCACTATGGAAAAAGGCACCTGTGGGGGTGGGGGGTTAGAAAAACCCTCAGAGGAAATACAAGTGGTTTCATTTGGGTTGAAATTCACTGTTTGTGGAAACATTTTTTTGTTTCAGTGTCGCCGGCTCTACTGGGGAAAAATCAAGCAATGAAACGGAGCGGTGGGGAAAACGAAAGTGAAAAGTGGGATTTTTCCCACCAAAATGAGGGGGGGAAATTTTTTAACATTTTTCCAACATTTAAAAAAATTGGAGGAAAAATGGGGATTTTCAAAGAGCTCAGAACATTTTGGTGAATTGCTTTGATTGAACCCAAACACCAGTTTTCACTGGATATAGATCTAGATATAGATAGATAGGTATAAAGTGTTTGACCAGCTCTAGCTACATGGCCTGATCCTGCCAGGAGCCAGCACTCAAGTTCCCACTGATATCAATGGAAGTGGATGATGCTCAGCACCTTTCGGGATTGGGCCCTATATGAGATGCAGTATTCGGGGGAAGTGATGTTCCAAACATCACCTAGGCTTTCAGGGCTGGAGGGGTGAGGCTACGTCTAGTAATGTGGTTGATGAACCTGCAGAGTGAGCACCCCCGGCCCAGGCCCTCTGGATCAATAGAAGTGGCACCTGCCTATGCCAGGGCTGAACTGGGCTTTTGAATGTTAGCCAGGATGGGTGTGCCATGACCAGCAACTTGGGGAATGAGCTGGTGGCCTCCTGAGCATGTACTCGTAGTTTCATAGATTGTTAAGGTCAGAAGGGACAATTAGGCCATCTAGTCTGACCTGGATCAAACTGATGGGTGTCCCAGGCACACAGAACTGCAGTGCTACCCATGCCCAAGGCCTCTGCGATGGCAGGGAATTGACTGCTGTGTAGTCAGCCTCATCCTGCTTTGTCCTACCCACTCCAGCCCTGCTCCTGCCCCGTCTAGTCTCTCAGACGCTGGTGGCCCCTGCTCCCAGCTTCCACCAGCAGGCAGTACCTTGATGATCTTCTCCCTGGGGAAGTCACAGGGCCGGACCATGCAGAGCCGGCTCTCCTTCTCCAGGCGGCACTGGGGGTTGTCATTGGTGACGCGGGTGGAGATGCCCATCCCACAGCTCTTGGAGCAGGCACTCCATTCGGTGGTCTGGACTAGGCAGTTCTCCTGGAGGTCGTTCGGCTCAGGCCTGGGCGCTGGGTTCTCCATGTAAACTGACCCAGGTCAAGAGGGACACAAGAGAGCATTCAGGGACATGGCACAAGGCACATGGCCAGATGCAAAGCAAGTGAACGTCTGCGGCCTTGCTCTGCTGGGCAGCTCACAAGCTGGCGCTGCCTTGCTCTCCAGCGATGGGACAGGAGGTGCAGTAAATGAGGCCCTGCTAGAGCTGTTTGCCCTTTCACTAGCAGGGTCAGCAGGGTCTGGTCTCCTTTCCCCGCTTCTGTCAGCTCCAGTCAGTGTAAACCTAGATCTGATTTGGTAACTGGATGATGTCTGAACATTCCCCCCCTTTCTGGTGGTCATAAAAGGCACCATTCGGATGCCCTGTAGCCGCAAAACAGGAGCAGCAGAGTCAGCAGCAACACCTGCCTCTTCCACAAGACCTTGCCAACGGTCCTTAGCTCCGGCCAGAGAAGATTAATTGTTACTCAAAGTGAACTGGCCAGATCCAATGTGGCTAGTTCAGTTCTGCCCCCTCAATCTTCCTCCCCAGGCCCTGCTGATACAGTAGCTTCTTTCCCCTCTGTTACTACAGGAACTCACATGGTGCAGAACTGGTCACCCATCCCTTTGCCACTCATCGCCACTCCACAGTCCTGACCGAGGGGAGGGGACTCACCGTTCTACTGGCTAATCACTGGTTTCTAGAGAAAGCCCCAGATCTGAATATCCCAAACTATGGGCAAGTTTGGCGCTAACTTCAGGGCTTTGGGCCCCCGTCTATTTTCTAGCTAATAGCTCTTCCCTCACAGTGCAATCGGCTGCACCCTCATCTGTCTATCACTCACCTGCCAATCACTAAAACCTCCAACTGCACACCCTTAGTTGTCACCGACCACCCCACAATGGAACCCGTACAGGGTATCATCAAACAATTACTATCCATACTCTGTGGGGACTCCATCCTGAAAGAAATCTTTCCGGAACCCTCTCTTCTGATCCTCAAAACCCCAACCTCACCGAGCTCCCAACAGACCAGGACCCACCAACTCAAAGCGGCACCAGACCCTGTCAAAACAACAGATGCAAAACCTGCAGATGTATCTCCACTGCTACCATGATCAACACACCCCACAACACACCTTGCGAGATCCATGGCTCCCACACATGCCTATCACAACATGTGGGGTACCTCATCCAGTGCACTAAATGCCCAAAATAACAACTATGTGGGTGAAACCAGACAATCACTGAGCTCTCAAGTCATAGAATCATAGAATATCAGGGTTGGAAGGGACCTCAGGAGGTCATCTAGTCCAACCCCCTGCTCAAAGCAGGACCAATCCCCAACTAAATCATCCCAGCCAGGGCTTTGTCAAGCCTGACCTTAAAAACTTCTAAGGAAGGAGATTCCACCACCTCCCTAGGTAACACATTCCAGTGCTTCACCACCCTCCTAGTGAAAACGTTTTTCCCAATATCCAACCTAAATCTCCCCCACTGCAACTTGAGACCATTACTCCTTGTTCTGTCATCTGCTACCACTGAGAACAGTCTAGAGCCATCCTCTCTGGAACCACCTCTCAGGTAGTTGAAAGCAGCTATCAAATCCCCCCTCATTCTTCTCTTCCGCAGACTAAACAACCCAGTTCCCTCAGCCTCTCCTCATAAGTCATGTGTTCCAGTCCCCGAATCATTTTTGTTGCCCTCCGCTGGACGCTTTCCAATTTTTCCACATCCTTCTTGTAGTGTGGGGCCCCAAACTGGACACAGTACTACAGATGAGGCCTCACCAGTGTTGAATAGAGGGGAACGATCACGTCCCTCGATCTGCTGGCAATGCCCCTACATATACATCCCAAAATGCCATTGACCTTCTTGGCAACAAGGGCACACTGTTGACTCATATCCAGCTTCTCGTCCACTGTAACCCCTCGGTCCTTTTCTGCAGAACTGCTGCCGAGCCATTCGGTCCCTAGTCTGTAGCAGTGCATGGGATTCTTCCGTCTTAAGTGCAGGACTCTGCACTTGTCCTTGTTGAACCTCATCAGATTTCTTTTGGCCCAATCCTCTAATAAACTCAAGCTGCAGTGGGGGAGGTTTAGATTGGATATTAGGAAAAACTTTTTCACTAAGAGGGTGGTGAAACACTGGAATGCGTTACCTAGGGAGGTGGTAGAATCTCCTTCCTTAGAGGTTTTTAAGGTCAGGCTTGACAAAGCCCTGGCTGGGATGATTTAACTGGGAATTGGTCCTGCTTCGAGCAGGGGGTTGGACTAGATGACCTTCTGGGGTCCCTTCCAACCCTTATATTCTATGATTCTATGAAACTCACACAGGAAAAGAATAAAAAATAAAAACACCCTAAGACCGGTGGGCGAACACTTCTCACAAAGCGATCACTCCATAACTGACCCCCTCAGTCCTCGTCTGCAAAGGAAATCTGCACAACGCCTTCAAAAAATGAGCCTGGGGCCTTAAATTCATAACTGTGAAAATATTGGGTTTGTTTAGTTTGGAGCACAGAAGACTGAGAGGGGACATGGTCACAGTTTTCAAGTACATAAATGGTTGTTACAAGGAGGAGGGAGAAAAATTGTTCTTCTTAACCTCTGAGGATAGGACCAGAAGCAATGGGCTAAAATTGCAGCAAGGGAGGTAACTTCCTAACTGTCAGGTTAGACACTGAATAAATTAAGCACTGGAATTAATTGCCTAGGGAGGTTGTGGAATCTCTGTCACTGGAGATTTTTAAGAGCAGATTAGACAAACACCTGTCAGGCACATGACCCCACATAACCCTCTCACCAATGTGTTGCTTCTGGCTTCTGCCTAGCGGGGAGGGGGGTCTTGGGGCTTCAGCCCCACCAGGCACACCTGCCGGGGCTTGGGACCTCAGCAGGAGCAGGGTTTCAGCATCAAGCCCTGGCATGCACCTCCCACAGGGCTGAAGCCCTGAGACCCCCCTCCCAACAGGCACCTCCCGCAGGGCTGAAGCCCCGGGCAAGTGCGCCCCGGCTCTCGAACGTCTGAAGATATGCAGCTCAGAGGGTCGGTAAGTTTGGCCACACCTGGCTTAGTACAACCAGCTGTAACCCACTTAACCCCCCTTGCTGTCCTATGACTGCAGAGGCACCCTGCCTTGAATGGTCCCTTGAAAACTCCTATGAGTCTGGAAGTTCCTTTCCCAGACTTCCTGAGGAAGAGCTCTGTGTGGCTCAAAAGGCTGGTCGCCCTCACCAACAGAAGCTGGTCCAGTAAAAGATATTCCCACCCCCACCTTGTCGCTCTGCTCACCTGCCAGGGCTGTTTCCTGGCTGCCCCCTTGACAGATCCACTCCTCACAGCACTGGGTTGGGAGTTTGACCCAGCGGGGGTTCGGGCAGTCCGGAGAGGGGAGCCGCAGGTTGTCGGAGCACAGGGGGATGCAGCCGATGGCGCCGTCCATGCAGATGCATTGCAGCTTGCAGGTGGGCTGGAAGCTCTCACCGTTGTGATAGATCTTTCCCAGCAGGTCACAGGTCGCCCCCTCGTGGGCTGTAGGGAGAGATGATGGGGGGCAAGGGGGGAGAGTTGATGGAATGATTCAGCAGAAATGATCCAGGTGCTGAGGGCCAGGCCTCTTCCTCTAGGGGACTGCATGGTAACCAGAAATCAAAGCATGTGAACATCAGCTTCCCCGGCCTGAGATCTATGACTCCTGGGGGTGTAACTTGATCTTCCCACAGGCATCTGGGGTCCCAAGCCACCAGTTTAGAGTCTTTTCCTTGAGTGCCTGTCCAAGGGGAGCCTGAGTTCACCAGGGACCAGGCTGCGCCCCTCCCCTCAGGGTAAGCAAGCCCTTCTAATTGAATTGGCATGGCTGGACAAGGGCAGTTTCACCTGCAGCGAACTGAGCCCCCATCCAAAAATGAGGAGGGTGGGGTGTGACCTCTCTGTTCACAAACCCATCGAGCAAGCCAGTAATGCACAGGGGTCACTTCCGGTGCAGCTCTGCTCACAGCCCCACGTCTGAGACAGGCTGGTAAAATCCTGGTAAAAAGGCTGGTGTGGGGGATGGACTAGGGGACCTTGAGGTCTGGTCCAATCCTCTGTTGCTACAGTCCAGTAAATGCTTTGGATGTGCGAGGTGCTGACTGTCGTTTTAGGTTACAGCAGGGGGCAGTAGCACCCTGCAGGACCGACCACAGCATGGAGATCTACAGGACTGGGTGAGTGCCCAGGCAAGAATCAACTGGAGGCTCCAGGAATCATGAGAAGCAAGGAAGAAGCTGGCTGACAGCTCCTGTGTGCAGAGCTAGTCTGAGGCCTTATAAATCCCCGGAGGAAGAGCTATTGCCTGGAGCTCTCTGTGGCAGAGAGCGGGTCCCCTCATGTAGTGCGGCAGTATTTGAGTAGGGATGGGCTCAAGGCCAGATCTCAAACACCCCGAAGTTCTGGGTAGATTGGATCCAGTACCTTGGTTTTGCTCCATCGCTTTGGGCCAGGTTGTGAACCCCATTGACAAGACCATTCATGTGAGTTACACCCCCTGGGGTATACAGGGCCTAGCACTCTGGGGTCCTGCTCCGTGACTGGGGCTGCTAGGTGCTACCATAATGCAAACAAAGAACTGCTCGGCAGTGTGAGCAAGTGGTTCACAATCCAGCTCACAGTGATCGTATCAAACTCTTTGCTGCGAGGGCAGCTCTGGCTGATCCTCACTAACCTGGTTCTTCCAGAGACGGATCTGGGAAAAGGACACAGCTAACCTGGTTTCAGAGTAGCAGCCATGTCAGTCTGTATCCACAAAAAGAACAGGAGTACTTGTAAAAAGAAAAGGAGGACTTGTAAAAAGAAAAGGAGGACTTGTGTCACCTTAGAGATTAACCAATTTATTAGAGTATAAGCTTTCGTGAGTTACAGCTCACTTCATCGGATGCATAGAATGGAACATATAGTAAGACATATATATATATATACACACACACACATACAGAGAAGGTGGAAGTTGCCATACAAACTGTGAGAGGCTAATTCGTTAAGATGAGCTATTATCAGCAGAAGAAAAAAAACTTTTGTAGTGATAATCAAGATGGCCCATTTAGACAGTTGATAAGAAGGTGTGAGGATACTTAAAGTGGGGTAATAGATTCAATATGTGTAATGACCCAGCCACTCCCAGTCTCTATTCAAACCCAAGTTAATGGTATCTGGTTTGCATATTAATTCAAGCTCAGCAGTTTCTCCTTGGAGTCTGTTTTTGAAGCTTTTCTGTTGCAAAATTGCCACCCTTAAATCTTTTACTGAGAGGCCTCAGAGGTTGAAGTGTTCTCCTATCGGTTTTTGAATGTTATGATTCCTGATGTCAGATTTGTGTCCATTGATTCTTTTGCATAGAGACTGTCCAGTTTGGCCAATGTACATGGCAGAGGGGCATTGCTGGCACATGATGGCATATATCACATTGGTAAATGTGCAGGTGAACGAGCCCCTGATGGCGTGGCTAATGTGATTCGGTCCAATGATGGTGTCACCTGAATAAATATGTGGACAGAGTTGGCATCGGGCTTTGTTGCAAGGATAGGTTCCTGGGTTAGTGTTTTTGTTGTGTGGTGTGTGGTTGCTGGTGTGTATTTGCTTCAGGTTCGGGGGCTGTCTGTAAGCAATGACTGGTCTGTCTCCCAAGATCTGTGAGACTGAGGGATCATTTTTCAGGATAGGTTGTAAATCTTTGATGATGCACTAGAGAGGTTTTAGTTGGGGGCTGAAGGTGATGGCTAGTGGCTTTCTGTTATTTTCTTTGGTGGGCCTATCCTGTAGTAGGTGACTTCTGGGTACTCTTCTGGCTCTGTCAATCTGTTTCTTCACTTCAGCAGGTGGGTATTGTAGTTGTAAGAATGTTTGATAGAGATCTTGTAGGTGTTTGTCTCTGTCTGAGGGATTGAAACAAATGCGGTTGTAACTTAGAGCTTGGCTATAGACAATGGATCGTGTGGTATGTCCTGGATGGAAGCTAGAGGCATGTATAGGTAAGTATAGCGGTCAGTAGGTTTCTGACATAGGGTAGTGTATATGTGACCATCACTTATTAGCACAGTAGTGTCCAGGAAATGAACCGCTTGTGTGGATTGGTCGAGGCTGAGGTTGATGGTAGGACGGAAATTTACTTGACTTCTACATAGAATGCTTCCGTCGACGTGCATGGGCTGAAATGGTGGAAAAGCAGCATCACTTGCCCCATAACCTCAGCTGTGCAGAACACAATGCCATCCACAGCCTCAGAAACAACTCTGACATCATAATCAAAAATGCTGACAAAGGAGGTGCTGTCGTCATCATGAATAAGTTGGAATATGAACAAGAGGCTGCTAGGCAGCTCTCTAACTCCACATTCTGCAGGCCATCATCCTCTGATCCCACTGAGGGTTACCAAAAGAAACTACACCATTTGCTCAAGAAACTCCCTGAAAAAGCACAAGAACAAATCCACACAGACACACTCCTGGAACACCGACCTGGGGTATTCTATCTGCTACCCAAGATCCATAAACCTGGAAATCCTGGGTGCCCCATCATCTCAGGCATTGGCACCCTGACAGCAGGATTGTCTGGCTATGTAGACTCCCTCCTCAGGCCCTACGCTACCAGCACTCCCAGCTATCTTCGAGACACCACTGACTTCCTGAGGAAACTACAATCCATCGGTGATCTTCCTGAAAACACCATCCTGGCCACTATGGATGTAGAAGCCCTCTACACCAACATTCCACACAAAGATGGACTACAAGCCGTCAGGAACAGTATCCCTGATAATGTCACGGCAAACCTGGTGGCTGAACTTTGTGACTTTGTCCTCACCCATAACTATTTCACATTTGGGGACAATGTATACCTTCAAATCAGTGGCACTGCTATGGGTACCCACATGGCCCCACAGTATGCCAACATTTTTATGGCTGACTTAGAACAACGCTTCCTCAGCTCTCGCCCCCTAATGCCCCTACTCGCGCTATATTGATGACATCTTCATCATCTGGACCCATGGAAACGAAGCCCTTGAGGAATTCCACCAGGATTTCAACAATTTCCATCCCACCATCAACCTCAGCCTGAACCAGTCCACACAAGCGGTCCCTGATTTTCCTAAAAGAACCTGTGTGACTGGAGACTTGGCAGGATTGTGACATCAGATACCATGCAAGTGAAACCCAATCCAATCAAAATCTCACTTTCCCTCCTAACTATTTAAAGCTGCTAGTTTTCTATTTGTTGATGTCTATTCAACTCAAAGGTTTGGAAGACACTTGGGAGAAATGTGCTCTTTTTAAAAGATTGACCATACCAACCCTTCAACGGAGGGCTGAGAAATCTTCCAGTCCATGGCAGAGACTTCCAAGAAGTTCTCCAGCAAAGCCAAGGAACATCAGACTTAATGTTCCAGATATTTCTAAGCTAAGGAGAACAAGTAGACCCAGCCCCTAATTTAAAGAAAAAATCATCCTTATAAATCATAAATCTGCAAAAAAAGGCACAAACCACTGTCTTAGCCACAAGCCCAGCCTCCCTCATATGTGCTGCACAATGATACAATACAGCTTTACCACTGAACCAGGTAAGGGGACCAATTCCCTCGGTGAGAACGAACAGTAGCACTAAACAAGCAGCCTGTCTTTGCAACATTAATCGAAAGGCATCCTGAAACCCTTCTTGCCTTGGCTACCAAGTGCCAGCACTAGAGCAGTATATCTTCGTGCAATGTTTCCCGGGGCTCCATCTTTCCAGAAGTTACACACACTGCAGCCCTGGGTGTCAATTTCCAGCCTCATGTTTGTACGGCTGATTTTAACACTAACCCAGCACAGAGCATTCAAGCCCTGCAGTACGCAGCATTCTGAGAAGATGTATGAATCCCAGTCTGTCTTGTCATGTGTTCCTGATGGGCTCGTTCACGTAAGGGGGGTACTTCCGACTCAGATGAGAGTGTCTCCTCCTTCTTGAATTCCTTTCTCTGCTGTGGAGCACATAGTTCTGGTTGATGTGCGGTCAGACACATGGATCCCTGCCACTTGCTGGGTCTAGTGAACCTGTGGTCATCCTTGCCTGTGGACCAGGGCTTTCCTCCCTTTATATGAGATGTAGACACAAACTGTGCGTGGCGATTGCACATTTAAAGCCTGTAATATTCTGTGGCAGCGTACAGAAGTCTTGGAACCTGGAAGCCGGTGTTCGGAGATGGACATACCGATGTGCAATCGCCACAAACTTAAAGATCCATACACTACACAAATAAGCCTCCTGACCATGAAATGTTCCCACCTCTGGATTTCCCGGGGACTCCCGTCTATGTATCTGTATTTTCAGCTTTAAGCTCGTTGGGGAAGGAATTCCCTCTAGTTGTGATTTATGCACAAAGTGTTGTGCACACGGTTAATAATCCTTATCCTCTTTGACTTCCCCCTTTCCTTTTCCCCTCATGCCCAGGCTGGTACCAAATTGTGATGGTTCTCCTTCTAATATTCTTAGAATCTCCTCTTTCCTTCCCCTGTCCCCACTGCCAAAACTGTAGTTCTCCCTCATCTGGATTCCTGTAAACTTCTCTTCTCCAGCCTCTCAAACTCTCCCCTCTTCTCTCTATCCAATACAGTAACTCCTCACTTAACATTGTAGTTATGTTCCTGAAAAATGCAACTTTAAGTGAAACGATGTTAAACTAATCCAATTTTCCCATAAGTTTTAATGTAAATGTGGGGGGTTAGGTTCCAAGGAAATTTGGGGGGGGCAGACAAAAGGCATTATTTACTGTACAGTACTGTACTGTACTGTGGTTGGGAAGCGCCCCTGGCTTACCCCACACAGGCACAGCCTGCTGCAGGCAAGGACGCTAGGAAGCACCTTCGCAGCAGCAATGGCAGCTTCCCCCCAGAAAAACAGGCGCCGACTTTGCCGGGGGATGCTCCAGGCCCGCCACTTCCCGTCCCTGCTCCACTCCAGGCCCACCTCTTCCCACCCCCACTCCACCTCATCTCCAGAGCACGCCATGTCCCTGCTCCTCCCCGCACTCCCGGAAAGTCCTAAGTGCTGGGGAGGGAGGGGGAAGAGGCAGAGAAGAGGAACTTGTGCAGTGCTCCCTCGTAAAGTCGCTGCTCTTCCACAGAATCGTACAAGCCATGGACAGAGCAGGCAGCCAAACAACGTCATAAGGGAGCATTGCACAACTTTAACTGAGCATGTCCCTTAATGGAGCAGCGACATAACTTTGAAAAAAACGTTAAGCAGGAGGATGTTAAGTGAGGAGTTACGGTCCCCAGTAGCTGAAGTCATCTTCCACCTCCACCACTCCATCTCTCACCCCTTCCTCAAGTTCCTTCACTGTCTCCAGCTGCTAATGTGCTGAGATATCAATGTGATAGTTCTGACAGGAATGGTCAAAGCCACTAGGGTGCACATTTTTCTAACAGATGCTCACAGATTCTAGGCTGAAATCCTGGCCCCACTGAAGTCAATAGATTTTTGCCAGCTCATTTTAATTTCCCATTTTAAGGTCAGAAGGGACCATTGTGATCATCTTGTCTGGCCTGCATAACACAGGCCATAGAAGTCCACCCTGTGATATCTGCATCAGCCCATATCTTATGGCTGAACGAGAGCACCGCTTTTAGAAAGACATCCCATTTTGAATTAAAGACTTCAAGTGACAGAGACTCCACCACATCTCTTGGTAATTTGTTCTAGGGGTTAATAACCCTCACTGTTAAACATTTACAATTTATTTCCAATCTGAATTTGTCTAGTTTTGACTTCCAGCCATTGGGTCAGGTTCTGCTCCTTCTCTGCTTATGTACGTGGTGTGACCAGGCCAGTTGTTATGAGAACACTACAAACTCCAGAGACAGGTAGTGGTATCTTTCTATCACCAATAGTTAGATATATCAACTCATGTGAATTAAAACTGAGAAACATATGCACTCACCTCTAAAGGCCCAACCAGAGATTTAACAAGTGGGGAGGAAAGAAAATTAAACAGATCAAAGAAAATAAGACTGATCAAAGAAGAGGACAACTGGCTTTTGCAAGTGAAACTTGCCATCTGAATCCTTGCAAGCAAGTGAAAAATTAGCACACAATAAAAACAGCAGCTGCAACAAGTAACCTGCAACTCTATTGACTCCAACTAATTCTGAAATACTGCGGCTGGAGCACTAATGGTAGCTGGAGTTAAGGTTGTGTGAGCGTTTCTATTACAACCCCATTTTCAGTCGTTTAAAAGTTTCCAAAACTTTTACCTCTCAGGCAGTCTGTTGTAGCTGTGATAGTCCCAGGATATTAGAGAGACAAGGTGGGTGAGGTCATAGCAGCCACGGGGCAAAAATAGTGGGTGCTGAGCACCCACCGACAGCCCCTGGCAGCTCACCCTCACCCCAGTCCCAGTGCTTCCCGCCCGACAGCAGGCCCATGGATCAGTGCCTCCCGCTCCCTCCCCACGCCTCCCACCTGCTGCAAACAGTTGTTTTGCGGTGTGCAGGAGGCTGGGAGAGAATGGGGAGGAGTGAGGACACAGCGCACTTGGGAGAGGGGGCGGAACTGGGCGGGAAGAGGCAGGGTAGGGGTGGGGCCTTGGGGGAAGGGGTGGAGTGGGGGCGGGGCCTGGGGCAGAGGCTTTGGAAAATTGGCGCCTGTGGGTAAGGTAATATCTTTTATTGGACCATCTTCTGTTGGTGAGAGAGACAAGCTTTCAAGTTGACTCAAAGTGTGTTTAAAGTGGGAAATGAAAGGTTTCCCAATCTTGAAGAAGAGCTCTGTATAAGCTTGAAAGTTTGCCTCTCTCACCAACAGACCTTGGCCCAATAAAAAATATTCCCTCACTCACCTTATACCCCTCAGGCAGAAATTTTCCAGCCCTGGTGTCTGTCCAAGGGCAAATTTTTTGGAAAGTTTGAGCCAAAAATGATGCCACTGGTTTTTGGGGAGGAAAACAAAGAAAAGTGGGAGGGAGACAATATACTTCCTCCACTATGAAAAAAAAAGTCTTGATTTTTTGTTTTTTATACAGTCCTACTAGCACAATGGCTCTGGCTAAAACGCTGATATTGGGCAGGGATGTAATAGCCTTCGCTGAGAGACGCTCCAGGAGGGGTCTGGTGAAAACAGGTTTGCATTTGCAGTTATCAGGATGTGTAGAGGCCAGTTGGTGCATACACACTCTTTTGCAAATGATATTCTTAGCTATTTCTATTAATGTTTTGAACACAGGAAGGCCTGGAAATAAGGTGTAAATTTATAACGGTGAGAGTAATTAACCATGGGAACAAATTTACCCAGGGTCCTGGTGGACTCTCTGTCATTGACAATCTTTAAAATCGAGATGGGATGTTTTTCCAAAAGCTCTGCTCTAGGAATTACTGGGGGGGCGAGGGGGGGGTGGCAGGTCTCTGGCCTGTGCTATGCAGGTTAGACTGGATGACACAATGGTCCCTTCCGGCCTTGGAATCTATGAACACGTGTGTACAATGGATTTAAAATGCTACCATTAATGTGATAGGGTAGAGAATTCTGCTCTGATTACAAAAGTAACAATACTTTACAATAATAAAATAGCCTCAAGCATTGGGGGCATCCTGGCCTCTCCTGTTCTCTGCCCGTGGCTCACAATGGATTAGTTGCCTGAGGACTGAAATGTTTTGGTCTAACTAGTGTCTGGTCTGTGACATAGGAGGTCAGAGAATACGATCAGATGGTTCCTCCTGGCCATGCACTTGTCTGGTCTGCCATTGTGTGTCCCCTAAGGGAGGTTCTGATGTCCCTCTGGCTCTCCCATGGTCTGTGGGGCCTCGGGACAGGACAGCTTCACGCTGGAGGGATACACAGCTGCTCACCTAAGCAGATCCCGACGTCTCTGTGGATTTTGGAGAAGTCGCAGTAGAGTCCCTTGTGGTGATCGCAGGGTGCCTGAAGGGAACACAGCTCACCCAGCTGCTGGGCACACACCTTACAGCATCCGCAGGCATCCCACACGTGGCTGGTGCCAACAGGGCACTGCAGCGGCTCAGAGGGGCACTGGCATGGGTACGAGCACGGCTGTGACTCTGCCTAGAGGACAGACAAGCCATGAAAATAAGACCCTTCTTCTCACAAATCAGCAAAGTGGAGAGATTAAAAGTGAATCAATCTGCTGCCCCAGCTCCAGCAGGACAAACCCACCTTTCTCTCCCCCTCCCCAGTCTGGGTGCCATGAAGGACCTTCCATGCAGCTCCAGTTGAGCAATCCTCTTACCCTAAAATCAAGTGGAGTCCAGGAAAGAGGAATCCCCCTGGGAGGCAGGGTCAGCTTTAAACACTAACAGGGCGAGCAAATGCTTGGAGTTCCCCACTCTGTGGAATCGGTCCCCTTCCCTTTGACTGTATCAACAACAACACACCTGGCTCTGTCATCAGTACACCTCAGAGGACTCCACAGAGGAGGTCACCATCATTATTCCCATCTTACAGATTGGGAAACTGAGGCACAGAGTGGGGAATGGATTGGCCCAAAGTCACCCAGCAGCGCAGCCAAGAATAGAACCCAGGTTTTCCAAATCCCAGTGCAGTGCTATATTCAAAAGGCCACATTACTCTCCAAGTAGGCCCTGAGAGGTGAGCCCCACCTTTCTGGGGACTTTAATGTAACCTCCTTCCTTGGGACCTTACAAAAGTAATGCCATCCCTGCTCAAAGGACTTCAGGTTGCCCTTCCCTCCTTTCAAAACCCCACACTTCAGTATTTCTGCTGTTTGATTTCACATGGTGAACAAGGTTGGGCTGGGTCTGAAGGATGGGAATGAACTCGGAAAACCCAGGATGCTGCAAATGATGGTGGTGGTACAGTAGATGGTACCTTCCCCCAGAGCCAGTGCTGAACCAGCCCCCCAGCTGCTGTACACAGCATGGTTTGGATGAGATGTGAAACTAAGGTCATTAAAGGTGCTAAATTTGCAGTCATTAAAGATCCCCCTTTTAATTAAAAAAAAAATCTGTGTTAATCCCACTTGGGTAACTACATTTTGCCTACCAACATTCCCACTATGTAGTTTCAACAGGGATATGGAGTAGTTCTTCACTTCCCATGTCTACTTGCTGTGTCATGCCTCTGTGCATCGCTAGCCATCTGCTATGTTCCACCCCAGAGGTGGCTGCAATTGCAGTGAGAAAATGATTTTTGTGTCTTATTTGCATGCGTCAGTCTAAGCTTAGTACATGTTTTGACAGGTTTCAGAGTAGCAGCCGATGAAGTGAGCTGTAGCTCATGAAAGCTTATGCTCAAATAAATTGGTTAGTCTCCAAGGTGCCACAAGTACTCCTTTTCTTTTTACATGTTTTGAGATAGCAATGTAAAGTAACAAAGCAACCAAGTTCATACACATCTGCTCTTGATTCATACCCAGCCCTTGTTGGTAAAGCAGCTTCCTTGCATGGTTTGTTTTGTGACCAAGTAAAAGTAGTAAAACTTTTCCAGCTGCTTTGCCTGTTGTTCCCAAACACTGTCCTAACTGAAGCTCATATGGGGCTAGGAGATGCCAGCTGCTTTATACTCTTGCAACAATCAGCACAGTATAGTATAGCACAGGGATTTGTCTGAATCGTAACCCACAAGACCTCACCAAGTCTTACCCCATTCAAGAGGAATTAATCTAATTCTCTTTGAAAACTCCTAGTGCAAAATCTTCTTGTAATAAAGCCTCTAACACCACCTTACTGCCTGTAACACACCCATTCTCAAATCGTGGTCAAGAGCTGGCAGGATCCTCCCTGTTTCCAGCTGTGAAGCTGCATTACAAGAAGCTGACGGTATTTCAGTGCTTTCCTCTATTTTTCAGTTGCTGTAATTGCCAAAGGGGCAAGATATTCGATCAAGACTAGGTGGAGAGGTGGGTACAGGGGAGGATCATGAATGGGGGTGATGTGCATCTGCCACAATATCTATATTAAGATGTGGTCCGTGCACTGAAAAAGTTGGCAGCAGCCAGCATTCTCCAACACTGTGGTGGCAGCAGCCTATGTAAAAAAACACTCTCAAAATGTCTGATTTTTTTAAATTCCCAATGACGACAATCTGAGATGAAACCCAACGGAATTTGAATCATTCCCTGACCTTGTCACTGTCAGTGCTGATTGCCTCCTTTCCCAACTTCACACAGAGAAACTGAACTGCTCTGTTTTACTTTTTGTTTATAGGCAGGTTAACTTTCCATTCTCGGGTTGCAGAGAAAGGATGGTCTGGTGGCTACAGCAGCACAGACCCAGATAAGCTAAGTTCTCTTCCTAGCTCTGCCACAGAACTGCTGTGTGACTTCACACCACTCATGTCACCTCACTTTGGTTCACAGTACACCTGGCCCCAGTGTGTATCCAGACTCCAATCTGCTCTGGTTTTGCGTCTTTTAACTCCTGCTAGCAGGGCCAGCCCAAAACATTTTCGCATCTGAGGTGGGGAGCTCAAATGATGCCCCCATGCCCCCTCACTTGGGCCAAAACTTTGAAACTCTGGGTCCCAGTGGCTCCCCCCCACCCATCCACCCACAGTCTGGCACCTGAGGCAGCTGCCTCAGTTCGCCTCATGGTAAGGCCAGCCCTGCCTGCTAGCTTTACAGAGTCAACAGAGCAGCAAGTCAGCTGGAGTCTTTTCTGGCTCATCCACTATCACCAGTGAGCAGAGAGAAGGACCATGTAAGGTAGGGAACAGCTAGTACAGACTGGGCAGGGTTGAAGTGGCTACCTGGAGTCGCCTCGCGAGCACCTTCCATTAGTTATTCCACTTTCATGAAATATTAAAAGACGACGAGCATGAATTATTCTGCAACATGCCTGAAGACAATTCCTCATTCCTGCCCATATTCTTTCTGCTAGAATTTGCCTCGATACAAAGAAGATGAACCCAGGGTCTGAAGTTCAGCTCCAGATCCAAACTTCCCCAAAGAACTGAGCAGGGGCTTTGCAACAGACCTGTGCATAATACAAAGTCCCTTTCTAGCAGGTTGTGCTGCAGAGGTGGGTGGAAAAGGAACCCAGGATCAGGCAATGTACATTTCATCTTCCTCCCACCCTCAAAAGTCGCTGGCCCTAAAGTTCCATGCTGTTGGAGTTTTCAATGGAAGGGGCCCCACTTCCCTTTAAAGGCCTGATCCTGCTTCTGTTGAAGTCAGTGGCAAACGTCTACAGACTTCAGTGGAAACAGAATTGAGCCAATATTATGGATCAGAGCTACTGGAATTGAAAAAGAAAAAGAAGCCAAAAAAGATGACTCCCCTGCGCTGGTTTTGCTGGCAGCTCTTGCATACACCACAAACATCATTTGCAAAGCTGCCACTCCCAGGAGCCCTGAGCGCTGACTGAGCTGCAGTTGTGGGCAAAAAGCTGACTAGCAGAATCACATCTCCAAGCTGCATATATATTCCCCATCACTGGCTCCCAGGTCCCATCTCCTCAGCTTACAAGTCAAAACAAGATTTTCCTAACTGCCAGCACTGCAGGCTGAACGTAGGTACCTGGAATAAGAGAGACGAGTAATGTTCTTTCTGCTTCACAAAACTCTTAGCACTGGTGAAGAATCTGGGGTGGGGTGGGAGAAACCAACTCACATCTCCGCAGCTGCTGGCTCTGCAGCATGGACAGCAGGGAAATCTTGGGACCGATCAGTGAACCAAGCGGCTCTAACACCAGGGAAAGGGCAAACGCAGGCAATGACAAAGCGTTCTTTATTTTAAAGAACCCTGCTTTTTGGCTCATGATCCCATTCAAAGAGGTGGGAAAGGGTACTGTAAGGCTCAATTAAATGTTTACAAAGGACCCTGAGTGCCTGGGACGAAAGGTGCAAGACAGGTATGGTTAATGCTCTTTGTATGGTCGGACAATGACAAGGATAAAGGGGGCAAAGTGTGATCATTCCAATAGTCCTAACACTGGATTAGTTTGGATAACACTGCGTTACCCTCCATTACAGGATTTCAAGGCACTGATAAGCAACACCCTTGTGTACTAAGTAAGAATCGCTATCCCCTTTTCATAAATAGGGAAACTGAGGCAGAGAGAGGCAGTGACATGCCCAAGGTCACAAAAGTCAGTGGCAGAGCTGAGAACAGAGCCAAAGAATCCTGAATCTGAGCACTCCACTCTAACCACTAGACAACACTCCTCCTCAAGACCTAGGAGCAGACCTAGGAGCTCCTGTTCTTCTGTTCTAATCAGATCCTTGCTCCCCTCCTAGACCTAAGAAGAGAAAAGGAGTCCAAAGTCCCATTTTCAAAGCACTCAGCAGATGCTTGAGAACATGATCTCATTTGGATAAATCAAATTTGTGACCAAAGTTTGACTGTAAAGTGTTTCAGAAACTATGTTTTTTATTTGTTATTATTATTATATATTATGTGTGTTGCTGTAACACCCAGGAACCTGGGTCATTGCGCAAGGCGCTGTACAACCACAGAAGAAAAAGACAGTCCCTGCCCCAAAGAGTTTGCTAATTTCCCCTCAGCACAGAAACTGCCCAGCCCCTGATAACATTATATTATAAGCATCTCCGTACAGAGATCAGCATTCTTTCTGTTTGGAAATCATGGGGCACATTTTTGGTGCTACCAGCAAGAATCAATACACAGAGTTCGTCTACCTAAAGCATTTTGCATACATCAGTGCAATAAGCCACAAAAATCTATTTAGATCCATAGCAGCTGGTGGCATGGACCTCGTCTCCTTACTGGTCTGCAAGGTGATTAGTACAGTTTGGGCCCTATAATAACAAATCATCATAATCATTAATAATGCCCCTGTTGCTGTCATTTGGATTGTGGTCACATCCAAAGGCCCCATCAGAATCAGACCCCCATAGGTACTGCACAAAACACAGCGAGACACAGTCCCTGCCCCCACACAGAGCTTCCAATCCAATTTCTCCTTTAGATTTCAAGCTCATGGTTTCCAGAAGCAAACAGCTGCATTTCAATAACAGCTGTTTTTCTTAGCAGGAAAGGGGGCACATGGCTGAGATATCAGGGTTTTCCTCCTAGAAGTGCCACACATTAGGCAGGTAATGCTGCGGTTAAGTTGCTTGACCTCTCTGTGCGTTGGGTTTCCCTCCTGTAAATTGGGGATCACAGGAGAGCACAGGGGAACTTCATCCACACGTTTATGAAGTGCTTTGAGATCCTTGGGCAGAGGGCACTACACAGGTCACTGTATGTCTGCAGCATGCCGTTCTGAGTGTTATTTATCGACGCAGTGCTTTGGGATGCCAAGTTAACAGCTAACTCCTCCTAGGCGCTGTCAGAGGCAGGTGACAGCTGTAACAGTTAGGCTTGCTGAAAGCATTCTGCCCGCATCAAAAAAAGAAGCTGCAAAGCTCCTCCAGTAAATAAAACAACTGCAGTACGGTACATACCCAGCCAGGCGCAAGGAGGAGAAGGAACAGAGACCAGGTTATTATCCCAAAGCTGTCACACATCCTGAGTGAGAGGGGTGGGGTTTCAGACTGACAGCTCGCTGGCTTTCTGCTCTGTTTGGAGAATGCTGCACACGGGCTCTTCTTTAAATAGCCTCCTGACGGGGTGTGCCCTGCACTTGAGTGACAAGCTGGAGAACAGCCCAAACTGGGTGAACCAAAAAGTGTCCGAATTCCAGAGAACATTAGCAGATTCCTGTGCGCCTGGTGGTCACGGGGCTGCTGGTGGAGTCTGGGACTCAGCTGCATTCCACTTGGGGAAATCAAATCTTGGAAAAAAACCTTTGTGCTCGGATTTTATTATTACCCCCTCTTTAATACTAAAAGTATGAAGCCTGAAACAGCTTCCTCCACTCCCCCTCTCCACCTTCCTTTTGGCCACAAGAGCTGTACTCTTAAATAAGTGAAGCTTTGTTGGGCTAATCTTTTCCCCTTGCAAGAGGAAGGGACAGAAAGTTTAGCCTTGTTAGAAGCTGTTCGGTACCATACGTGATAGTGCGTCCACAGGGCCTGCAGACACACCCGGCCCAGGGGAGTCAAAGCTACAAGACAACAAGCCCTGAACCTAGTGCTACTGGCTAGGGTGGCTTCTTCCGCTTCAAGGAAATGAAAGGCAATAGGGCCAAGCTTGCTTTTAAGGGACGGCAGCTTCCCACAATGTTTTAATTTGGGTCACAAAATGGCTAGAGGGGAAGAGCACACACCGAGGGTGACCAGATATCCCTATTTTATAGGGACAGACCCCAAATATTCGGGGTTTTGTCTTATATGGGAATCTATTATCCCCCACCCCCATCCTGATTTTTCACACTTGCTATCTGGTCACCTTACACACACTTGTATCACAGTGTATGATCTTTTGGGTGATTATCGCTGAAATACAGGACCTAGTGTCTCCTATACAGACAGAGCGTGGGGTCATATAAAGTGACAGCCTTTACAATCCAGGACAGTTGTTTTGCTTACACCTGCCTGGCAAGGCAGAGCACTCCCACCACGCAGGAGATGAGCAGGATAGGAGAGCAAGGCTGGGAAATGAACTCAGGATATGTATATGACAGAGAAGAGCAATCTCAGGTCTGGCATACACTGAATACACAGCTGTGGCGCTCAGGAGTCTGTAAAACCCACCCCCCGGAGTGCTGTAACTATGTTGACCTAACCGCTGGTGTAGACGTGACTAGGTCTAGGGAAGAATGCTTCCATCACCTTAGCTACTGCCGCTCGGGGAGGCAGAGTTCCTACTGTGATGAAAAGCCCCTTCCGTAGCTGCAGCTTGCAGCTACACTACAGGGTTATAGAGACATAGCTCTGACACTGTAGGTAGGCTGCTATAGCCCCCGTAGGTTAGACGAGCCCAGAGTCCATGCTGGCTTGGGGCGTGACAGACCAGGCCTGGGAACTGGACCCAGGAACCCTGTAGAACAGCATACTCTGCTTTGCACCAATCAGGTCTCTCGGCTTGTGAACATTCCAAGAGCGGCACGAGGTGGCACTTTTGATTGGTCTGGCCTCAGAAAGCTGGGAAATGGCGGCACAGGTAGGAAGGTGGGTCGTTCTGGCTCTGCCGGTGAGTCATTGTGTGCCCTTGGTTAAGTCCCTTCACCTCTGTCTCTGAGTTTCTCTATCTGCAATACAGCATAAGACAACAGGGCAGAGATAATATGCTACCTACCAAGGGTGCTGGGAGTTTAAATGTATACATTAATATTTCTCCATTGCTTTTCAAAGGTAAAACACTCAGTATTGTTAGTAAATAAAAGCATAATAAAATTACACATACATACAACACCAATATGAGAACCCTACTTAACCAGGTTTCAGAGCAGCAGCCGTGTTAGTCTGTATTCGCAAAAAGAAAAGGAGTACTTGTGGCACCTTAGAGACTAACCAATTTATCTGAGCATAAGCTTTCGTGAGCTACAGCTCACTTCATTGGATGCATACTGTGGAAACTGCAGAAGACATTATATACACAGAGACCATGAAACAATACCTCCTCCCACCCCACTCTCCTGCTGGTAATAGCTTATCTAAAGTGATCACTCTCCTTACAATGTGTATGATAATCAAGTTGGGCCATTTCCAGCACAAATCCAGGTTTTCTCACCCTCCGCCCTCCCCCACACAAACTCGCTCTCCTACTGCTAATAGCCCATCCAAAGTGACCACTCTCTTTACAATGTGTATGATAATCAAGGTGGGCCATTTCCAGCACAAATCCAGGTTTTCTCACCCCCCCCCCTTTTTTCCAAAAACCACACACACAAACTCACTCGCCTGCTGGTAATAGCTGGAAATGGCCCACCTTGATTTAGATAAGCTATTACCAGCAGGAGAGTGGGGTGGGAGGAGGTATTGTTTCATGGTCTCTGTGTATATAATGTCTTCTGCAGTTTCCACAGTATGCATCCGATGAAGTGAGCTGTAGCTCACAAAAGCTTATGCTCAAATAAATTGGTTAGTCTCTAAGGTGCCACAAGTACTCCTTTTCTTTCTACTTAACCAGGGTTCCTAACAACAGAGCAGCCATTTATTTTCTAAGCACTGCGCCAACATTGACTAGCCAATACTCACCACCTCCACGGGGGCTCATCAAATATAGTTATCCCATTGTAGAGATGGGGAAACTGTCCCAGAACTAATCATGTCTGGGATTAGAATTCAGGAATTTCTGGGTCAGTCAACTCACCCATGCCATTTATAGCTAACATAGCAAACCTGAAACAAAACTGCTATGGAAAATAACAATCACCCATCAAAACTTCGCCTTACTGTTCCATGAAGCTGCTTAGCAGCTATATCTCATCACTGTAAATTCTCAAAAGCAATAGTTAAGCTGATATTTAAGCAACAAGATTATCTCTACTGATTTAATATACGGGGCAGCTGCAAACAATGTTGCCTGATGCAAAATGTGCTGTTTAGATCAGAAACAGTTTTCCCCACACATTATCATATGTTCTATGCTTTTCTCCATCCTTCTCTGTTTATTCAGGGCAACTGTGTGAAAGCAGGACCTTCATTTCTTTTCAATGCATACAGAGAGGAAGGGTGCACAGTGATTAAATCAAGAGTCTGGAGACCTGGGGCATGATTCTCATTTACACCAGAACCCAGTGTAAAGGGGCCATAAAGGGGGTGGAAGAAGGAGCCCTTTGACAATATGCCCTGTGCAGGGGACCTCCCTGGCCCTACCTCAGCCCTGCTTCCAACCCCAACTATAGGGGGTGTGGACAAAATGCACTATACCATGGCCATTCTCTGCCTCCCACACTCACAGAGGGGCCGGGAAAGCAGAACATAAGTAGGAGCAGTCCTGAGGCTGCTCCAACTTACTCCAGGTCCAGTTGTGGGCCCTCTACAGCCTCAGAATATAGGGAGTGTAAAGGTGGCCTAAAGGAACATCATCCCTCCTCCCCCTTTCCTGTCTCAGAATAGGATCCTAGATTCTATTCCTTGATCAGAGTTGCAAAGTGAGTTAGACAAGCAAGTCACTTGCGCTCTGTTTTGCCAACGGTAAGACTGGGTGTTGTGACGTTTCATTCAGACTTGTAAAATCCCTTGGGATCCTTGCATGGAAGGCACCAGTAAAGTGCTAACTGCATTCTCTGCTCCTTCTGCTCTTCTCCCACCTGAAGATCTGTGATTTCACAATCATTTCCATAGCAGCTGGTTCTGACACCACAAACAGAGGATTAAGTCTCTGCACAGAGGAGTTAATGAACTGGAAGTGGTATAAACACACAGTGCCCAGGAGCAGTTACAAGACAAAAGCAGTCTAGCCAGACACTGATACAGATCTGGGCTTGGAAGCTGTCACACCTTTAAGTTGTGCTTTAGTTGTGCTGTCTAATACCAGCTGCTCAGAATCGTACTCTGGAGGACATGTACTCTGGAGGACATGAAAATAAGGGAGGCTAGGGCAGGGCACTGTGCACCTCTGTTCTCATTTTCCTCCTGCAACAAGGAAATAACCCACATCTGGATTGCAAATCATTTTGACCACTTTGTAGCTGTGACATCTGTGCTTCTGTAAATCCTAGACACCTTTGTTATTGCTCAATAACTTACGGCGATCACCCCGGTATAAAAGGCCGCACCGTCTATTGAGGTGGGGCTGGGAGCTCTTGAGTTCTAACCCTGGGTCTGATACAAACTTGTGCATGACCCTGAACAAGCTACAGCCATGCCATGACTCGGGGATAATAATACTTACCTACCTATCAGGGATGTGCGGTGGAGCAGGCATCACTATAGAAATACTATCAGCATAATTATTGTTAAGCAGCACTAGGCATGTTTTCAGCACAGAGCAAAAATAATCCCTCTCCAGAAAAAAATATTGTCAAGGTGAAGTTACCAGTGCAGGCCTTTGTCAGTGGTCTGTGTGCATATTACCTTGCGAGAATGTTGCTAATAAAATGCTCACAATGTTAAAAACAGGCAATGCTGAGTTAAAGTCAACAAAGCTGAGTATGAGTCAACAGTGTGCCCTTGTTGCCAAGAAGGCTAACGGCATTTTGGGCTGTAGAAATAGGAGCATTGCCAGCAGATCAAGGGACGTGATCGTTCCCCTCTATTCGACACTGGTGAGGCCTCATCTGGAGTACTGTGTCCAGTTTTGGGCCCCACACTACAAGAAGGATGTGGATAAATTGGAAAGAGTCCAGCGGAGGGCAACAAAAATGATTAGGGGACTGGAACACATGACTTATGAGGAGAGGCTGAGGGAACTGGGATTGTTTAGTCTGCGGAAGAGAAGAATGAGGGGGGATTTGATAGCTGCTTTCAACTACCTGAAAGGGGGTTCCAAAGAGGATGGATCTAGACTGTTCTCAGTGGTAGCTGATGACAGAACAAGGAGTAATGGTCTCAAGTTGCAGTGCGGGAGGTTTAGGTTGGATATTAGGTAAAACTTTTTCGCTAGGAGGGTGGTGAACACTGGAAAGCGTTACCTAGGGAGGTGGTGGAATTTCCTTCCTTAGAGGTTTTTAAGGTCAGGCTTGACAAAGCCCTGGCTGGGATGCTTTAGTTGG